TTCAGAGTGGAATGCCATCATTTCCCATTTGCTTTACAGCAATCATCTCACTGATCTTCTACATTTTTTTTCCAATCTACCATCCACTTCTCTCCCCCAAAATATTCTCATTGAATCATATTACTTGCCTGCTTAAAACTCTTCCACTGCCCCGGAAAAGCGGTAGAGTACGGAGGAGAAAAACCTCATCTTTTTAGCACAGTGCACAGCACCTATCAAGGTCTGGCCTCTGTTCATAAACATAAACCATTGTCTCACTCTCCCTCACCTGTATATTCTATTTAGAAGGACCTTTGAGAAAGTTCTTAAATTCCCGTGTCCTTTCATACTTCCTGACTTTTGCATATCACCACTCCACACAGGTCATGCCTCTCCCGCTTCTCAGATGTAACCAGCTATATCTCTCGCCTCTTCTTAAGTTTTAGCCTCAATGCTACTTCTGCCAGAAGACTGGTCTCTCTCCTGAGGCCTGAGTTAGATGCTCTTCCTCTGTTCTTTCACAGTTCCCTCATACATGTGCTCTATCGTTCCATACCACAAACTCCTTTCTGCTTATGTTTCTCATTCCCTTAAGAAGTTGATGATCTCATTAAATTTTTGCAATACTACATATGACAAAAGAACTAATTTCTTTATCATCCCAATCTTATTGTGTTTACTCATATTTGTAATCACTCATTTTTATACTTCCTGTAATCCTGAAAATGAGAGAAAAGTTCTAATTTTGAAGAATATTAAAATAAACCTATATATTCATGTAATTATCTCTACATTCTTATTTCCTCTGCTCTTAGCAACCTTGGCTATAGTCCTTTCAAGGATTTCACAAATACCTATCAATATCAAAAGACAGTAAGTCAATATACAAATGAGATGATTATAGACAATTACCTCTACGTACTATTTTTTATGAGGTTACCACATAAATTCCATCAGTATCAACCTACAGGCATATAGATCACTAGAGTAGGAATAAAATGGGAAATAAGTCAGTATTCATACCCTTTCATCTCACTGTAGTTCTTTACTTTCTTATTTTTCATTCATTTCATTATTTTTCATTTCATTTCTTTGTAGTCTAACAGAGATTTCTACCCTGAACAAGTTCTCAAGTGCATAATGTACTTTTGGCATTTGAGATCACTACATACCTCTAACACTGAACTACTGAAGTGAGGCGTAAGTAGTTGCCTAATGTTTGACATACTAATCAAAAAATTTAACCTCAAAGCCAATCTTGGAGTATCAATATTGTTCCTCAATCACCTAGTTTAAAAGGTCAGTGTCTTGGTTACTTTCCTCTCATTGCTGGGACAAAATACCTGACACTCAGAATTCAGGAAGGGAAGGTTTATTTAGCTCTCAGTTTGTGGAGATTTCAGTCCAAACTAGGCTGGCTCCTGGGCAGAGCAGCACATGGCAGAGGGCAGCAGTTCATGGTAATGAAATGTAGCACAAGCAGCTAGAGCAAAAAGGGAGGTGCAAGCGCAAGCCCCTTGCTCTACCTTATACTGCATGCAGGCTACTGGCCCCAGAGTGGGTACAGCACTCACACCCATAATTTGAGGACTCTAACATGAGTTAATCAAAAACTCTAGAAGCCCTAAGACTGAGGCTTTGAGGGGAGAATTAGTATGTCTTCTTAGCATATATCGGATTAAAAATAAAAGGGCAAACATTAGGATGTCTAAAAATGCATTGCTACTTTAAGCTGGACAGTAAATGCAGAATTTTCACATGGCCATAATTACCACACCCTTCCCATGGAAAAGAAAGAGACAGGAAATGATGCAAAATACAGAACCATCTGACTGGTATTTACATTCCAGCTTGTAATACAATTTCTAATTCACGTATCTAAAGAGTTAACCATTAGTCTGGATGTAAAGAATTTAAGCCCAACCAAGAAACAGGAAGCACCGGTTCCGTCATAAGTGTTTTTATTTTGGTGGCTCACATCTGCAGCTTTGTCCCCTCAATATATCCTTTCAGAGCCAGAATAGAGAAGGGAACAAAGGTACTGGGCCTGAATCCATCACTGTGATTGTGATGTGCTGAGCCACCCACAGCATCACAAGAAAATTGTTAGTTTCTTGAGGAAGAACTCCAACCCACAGAGGCAAAGCCTGGAAGTAAAAGAATGGTCTATTCAACATGATTAACTTTATTCAGTATACCAACAAAGTCCCAGCATCAAGCTAGGCATGTGTAGTTTAAAAGAAGTTCAACTACATGGCCATATTCTGACTCTCAGAGGAACTTGGTGTGCCACTAGGAGCCCAATTCCAGTGTTACAGCTTTTCCATGTCCTCTTGAGCTGATGAAGAGATTACTTCCAGAGAGCCAGGTCAGTGAGAAACAGAGAATCCCATGGAAGAAGGGGATAAGACCATCTCAAACCAAATTCATAAAACCAAAAGATACAGATTTCATACATCACTATTGCCAATTATACTGCACAAAACAAAGCCTTGCATGGGGAAATCTCCTACATATACTAAAATTTTAAGAGGAAAGGTTCAACAAATTATAACTAAAGGCCAAATCCTCCTGGTCACCATTTTGTGAAGTCTGAATATAAAATAGTCACATTCACTAGATTACACATTATCTGTGGCTGATTTTGCACTAAGGTGAAAGAAACCAATAGTTGCATAAGTAATTATACAGCTACAAAGCCTAAGAATTACCTCATACAGAAATAATTTATTGGTCCCTCAACTGGAATGGTGAATTTGCATTGCTATACAACAGTTAGAATCTAGGTAAAAATTACTGTCTCAATTCCATACTTCCTTGTTGAAGACCCCAACACTTATGCAGCTTTGGGTTGGCCAACAGACATCCCAATACTCTGCTTGGAAACACTATAGGAACAGGTCCAGGTGGCAACCCTGCAACTCTGAACAGATGCCTACTTTTCTTCTGCCCATGAGACAGATGGTTCTCAGAGAGGGGGAGAAGAATTAGTCCATCAGAGAGAATTCTCTGTGCAGCACTAATTTTGGAACTATATCCCTGATCCATCTGGCCAAGGAGGATTCCTTAGGAATACCTTCACTATTTGAGTTCCCTTAACATTCATGAAGGGAATCCTAGGTTCCAAATATCAGGTCTCTACTCTCTGTCAAAATATCAAAAGGCATTCCAACACTGCCTATGAGAAAGGAAATCTCAAATGATTTTAAGGGCAAAATATGATTATGAAGATGAAGACAAGGAGAGCTCATCTAGAGACCTGATTTCAGAAAATATGTTAACTCTCTTGGCAGTATATATTCCCTGAGATTAAGGAGGTAAAACTCTGATAGTCTTTAATATATAGAAAGTAGGAGGTGTAGCATTTACTTCCTGACCTGTGAACAACTCTTCACTAGGTATAGCCACTCTTCTCATTAACCATGATGGCTCATTTTTTAATCACACGAACTTGTGAATTCTGAAAGATACTTCCTTTTAGAAATCAATCATAAATTAGCAAATTTAATTAAACTCAGATCTGATGTTTTTCCCAATTCTATTCCTAATATTCCACTGTAGAGAATGCTAGTCCATAAATAGCAAAGAGATAAAATTAAGATTAGATGAGAGGGAAAGTTAAGTAACTAGAAGCAGAGACGTTAAGGAAAGCAACTGCTGACAGACTGTCTTCATTTAATTCCAGCCAACAGGATTTTGAAATCTGAGAAATTGGGGATTAAATCCCAGTGCTGCCATTTGCTCCCTAGTTAATCTTAGGGCTCTTATCTATGAAACAAAATAGTAACTTAGCTATTTGTGGCATTGTTGTGGGGATGACTGGAACTATGTACAAGTCACATAACAGTCTCCTGATTTATACTAAGTCCTTAATATACACTTAAAATCATAACTGAGCAAAGTTCTACTAAGAGAGTATTTGTTCTTAGAAGCAGATACAAAAGCAGACTGGAAAACAACTGAAACTGGAGTGTACTTCCAGATGATTTTATTCTCTTTAAAAAAAAAAAAAAAAAAAAAAAAAGTGAACTGGGGGAAAAAACATTAGGGAAAAATCTTTCCTGACTTTCTCTGAGTCATGTGCTTCGAACCAAAGCAAAATTCTCATCAGAAAAGATGGTTTACAGTTTACAGACACTCATCCCATTATTAAAAATACAATTCTTACTGTATAAATGTTTTTATTTCCAAAACCTTGTATGGGCTGTCTTAATAATGCCTCTTCCACTTTCACATTAAAAGGAAGAAAGACATCACCTTAAATAACTAAAGAACTCTGTAAATGATGCTATGCCTCACAGATCAACCAGGAGAGTTAAACACCCAGCATTCTTCAGGGAGCTGTGGAAGAAAGAACTCCTTGTACAAAGAAAGCGTAAGATGCTGTAATATTAGGAACATAATATCACTGACCGTAATATGCGAAAGCACTCAGCTGAAATTTTACTTTATAACTTTAAGACTATATATTTGCTTACAACGTCTAATTAAAAGTATAACATCTTTGATTCGAGATTCCTAGACACAAGTACAAAATGTAGGAAAAGTGATAATGAAAAATCATAAATCAAGCACCTACAGTTGATTTTCATGACAAACCAAAATGACAAAAGGCTTTATAAATGAAAACTAATGTTTGAATTGCATCTGGAAGCAACTAGGCAGCCAGGAAGATGACACAAGACAGCTGCCATGACTTCTAGCTGCTCTTACCCCATAAAACTCACCTCTGGGGCAACTCTCTGAAAGCAACACTAGACTACTCACTTTCCTCTCACCAGATGCTTCTCTTTTTCCAGACTCTGTGGGTTTAGGCTACATCAAGCTTACTTTTACCCATGTTGCAAGCTAATTACAAGGAACCCAGAAATGTGGGAATGAACTGGGAATATTGTAGGCTGCTTTATCAAATCTTAGCACCATCTGCTGAAAAGCTAAGATGCTTGTTTTAAAAGCTGGCTGTCAAAGAAAAGCCCACAGCACAGACAGTGGGGAAGTTCTCTTTAATAATTCCTTCTTACCTCTCTTTCCTGGACACAAGCAGCAGGGCACTGAGCCTAGGTGAGCAGTCCAAAGATGAAAGACCATCGCTGTTTACCTTCTCCTGGTCCTGTGGTCTGCAAGAGAGAACCCCGACCACCTTGGTCATCAAAGCAGAAAAGATACACTGAAGAGATCTGTGTATTTCACCAAGCAACAACAGATATTTGGGAAACTTCATAGGGATGTCATTAAACTCCTATTTATAATTAGTTGGCAAAAAAAAAAAAAAAATTACTCCTGTTTTTTTTTTTTTTTTTTTTTTTTTTTTTTTTTTTTTTTTTTTTTTTTTGCGAAACCGGGGATACTCCTGTGCTTAAGGAAGATACTATATGGTTTTACCTTGGTAAGGCAAACATCAGTATTTTGAAACTATGGGATTTGGGGATTTTAGGGTTCCTTTTGAGGGTTAGATGTTTCAAAGAGAACGTAAAATCATCCTCAGGCTTGTAGATAATGATTAATTAGGTCAACAGCCAGAGTTCCAAGGGTAGGAAAAGTAAAGGAAAACCTTGTATCATTTTATTATTTCCATGAAAAGGTGCCCTCAATCATGCCAGTTGGACAATGATGGCCATTGGATTTCATGTCCTCTCAATAAATAAAAGTAACTTTCTAGTTTCCTAAAGTAATAAAATAAATGTAGAGATTTAGGGCCTTACGAAACAATTCAGCAAGGAATAGGTAGAGCTGGTAATAAAACCAAGCTAGTTACTGTGGAAACTTAACACCCCTTGTAATGAGTGATGCTAGAAAAAACAAGGACTTTATGAGAACTCAAAAATATGCTTCAGGAGACAGCACCACACAGGTCAAGTCAAAGCAACAAGGTTGCAGGAGGCACAAACTCACGGATCTTCACTGCTGTACACAACTGCTGAGACACAACTACTCTGCCTATATGCCTTGCCTTCCATTAACTTGCTCCCCTTCTCTGTAACTGGCCACGTCACCCACTGGCTAGCCTACAGACTGGTGATCCTTGAGTTAATCAATACCAATGCTTCAATTAGCACAGGCCAGATACAAGAGCCTGGTAGCAAAGAGTGCTGAGAGCCCGGACTGCAGCAGGATTTACAGGCAGGCAAAGTGAAAGTGGCTTTCAGTCAAGGGGCTCCATGCTGCTTGTGCACTGTGGAGGGAAATTCCACATCCTAATGGTGTCCTGCCTTCCACTGCTGGCATTTACCAAGACTGCTTTCATCCCAAAGGGCACGCAGCATTATTTCTCAGGTCTCAGCAGTCTCTGTGTCGTGACTACACACATGAACAAAGATGAAAACCTTTCCTATTAACAACTGAAAACCACACTAACAATAACAGACTGCTACCTTAGAGCACGTTTTCCTTGACCTCTTCCATTCTGTGTTTGTTTCAAAGTCTTGTTTACCCGAATTAAAAGTTGCATGGTTCCTTATTTCCATTTACCAGGAGGAGCCAGGGTAATTTTTCATCACTGCACAAAGGGGTAGCTCTGAGTTTACCCTGACCATCTGTTGCCCCTCACTAGCCTGAGGGGTTCACAGCAGGACCAAGTCACACTGCCAACCCTCTCAAGCAGCCTCTCAGGGCAGGGTTGACAAGTCACTTCCCAGGCCTGGATGGAACAGACAGGAAAAACGGACCCCACACAAGACTAAACAAAGCCAGACCTGAGGGTATGACAGGTCACAACAGAAGCAAAGTGTCCCTCCAGAAAGAACTCACACTGCAACAATCACAATCAGAGCTACACATGTTCACAGTGATACTACCTTTCAACCCCAAAGGTCTTTAGGGCATATAGGTTAGAAACATTCTTGGGTTAGGCAAAGCCTGTGAATGCAGACAAAAATTAATGATGTAAACAGTAAGCTAAAACATAAGCCAAAAAATCAACAAACCTTTAATGAGCCTGATCCACTCACTGGAACAAATACTATACTTAATTTTTTAAAGGGCAAGACATTGAAAAATTTGTTTTGTAGGAAAATTAATCTAAGTCATAAATATTGAATATCTGTGGATTAGAATTTGACATTAATACATTTCCTCCATGCCAATTCTCAGAACCATCCAGCTTCCTGCTAGTCAGTTTAGAAAAAAGGACAGGAGGGTGCAGATCAGGGAGGTATGGAAATAAAGGTGTTTTTGATGTTACAACCCTAAGAAACTTACATTTCTCCAGCCTCTTTTAAATGAACTTAGTCATAAGAAAGTGTAGCAGTCAGGCCTGCAGTAAACACAACCAAGGGGAGACAGGATGACCCCAGACTCTTAACATTTATTTGCCTGGTTATATCCTGCAAGTCCTTCAAACTCGGAATTTCAGATTCTTACTTATTCAACCTGCAGATGAGTATATTAGCACCTATGCTGCCTATTCTACACTATAATAAACATAAAATTAAAATATATATTCCAAACTTGAAAACTCTAAGGCAGACAACTGGTACTTCCATCTTTAGTAGCCACAGAAACTCAAACCTATTTTATCCAGCTTTCAACAAAAAAGTTGCATGTTGACAAGGGGGTTCCAAAACCTATGTTCAAATCACAAATTTAAATTTCAGTTGTGCAAATAAATATTGGGACCAGTATCCCAATTCTTCATCTATAACAGAATACATCTCATCTTCTAGAATTGCAAAGTACCATATTCATGGTTAGGTTAGCAGTGGATATTCAGTGAAACATGGGTTTTCTTTGAATTACATGGTTCTCAGATAAAACCTCCAGAAGTGTGCGCCAGCTTTTTGAAATAGTATTGTCACATAGTACACACATACACATGCCACCCCTAAAAGGAATATAAAACCCAGATTTTCCTGGAACACATTTTTAAGAATATACTCTTACAACTTTTTCCATCCTTGTTCTAAAGGCAAGCTGTATAAACTTTATCAGTTACTGTTTATGACTAAAAGAGCTGAAAACTTAGGGCAAATGAGCAAAATCTCACGTGTCCTAACTTCACCTGAAAACAATAGTTTGCTAAGGATCACACACAAAAGGTTAGAATCTTTCCTTCTTTCTTGATGGATAAGACATTAAATACTTAATTCCAACACAGAAGATAAATAATGATCTAAATGTTATGGGGGGTGGGAAATCCACCAGCAGAAACTTATCTTTGCAGTATGTGTCAATTTTCCAGTACCACTGCTGTTTAAAACTTTCCTAACACAGTATATGAATACACTTCAATCCAAGAATTTTCATTTTGACAAATACACTTACTAAAACCCATCTAATACATCCTCACAGATTTAGCAGTCTTACAAGAGTAATACTGTTTCCTGACCATACTAACCAACAAACTGTTTACCAACCTTGAAAGTACCTACTCTGCTACAGGTAAACAGGTAAAAAGTGCCTGAAATCAAGGTAGTAGGCAGCCAACCTTGGTTTGCCTAAGAACTGTTCTAAATTCACTTAAAAAAGGGAAAAAAAGGAAAAAAAAAAATCTGGATGGCTGTGTCAGATGCTGGTTTCTGGAATGGTTTGCTGTATACTACATAGCAAGAGAAGAAATAAAAACTTAATCATAGTTCTTTGAAGGAAGTGGAGTCTCAGAAAAGCTGAGATATGCAATTTTCTTTCTTTTTTGATGGATTAAGAGAGCCAAGTATCTGGCCAACCCATTAAGCAGTTTACTAAAAATTGAACATCATTCTGTTTTATTTATCTTAATAAATATCCTCACTTTTCCTACTGATTACAAAACAGTTTTCCATCAACCTTAGTACTCTGTGGGGTTTTTCAATAACTAATGTAGAATTTGATTTTATAATTATAGAATAATAATATCCAGAATTGGGTGCAAAGAAAATTAACCTCCCATAGGCAACCATCCAAATAATATCTGGGATATCATGGTCCCAGGGACCATCCAACCAATGCTGCAAGATGTCCAGGGAAAGCATAGCTCTGCATGCATTCCAGGCTTACTAACTCAATCTCCAGCACTGGAGTCTTCATTTTAGCAAGACCTGGGGTCAGTTTTAAGTACACTAAACTTTGCAAAACACTGCCTTACCACTTATCCTCAAACTTTAATGTGCATATGGGTCAAGCGGGGATTCTGCTAAAATGTGTATTATAGTTCAGCAGGTTGAGGATACAGATAAAAATCAATGTGCATTTCTAACAAATCCCTAGGTGAATCCAAGACAGCCAGTCCCACGTACCATATTTAGCAGGATATTAGCACACGGTAGCCAATCTTCTCCCACTGTGCATCAGTAATCTGATTTGAGAGCCAACATTATGTGATATTGAAGCCCCTTGGCAATAAGTATAAATAAGCAGCCCACTACCTGAAATATTGTGCATTTTCTTTTAGAAAAACCTATACATTTCATGTTTATACACTCAATTTAGAAAGTGAGTACTATTAGAAAGTACATTTGAATATTTCTAGATGTTATTCCATATGGCACTTCACAGTTTCTAAAATCAGCCTGGTACCTATAGATCTAATCACACAAGTCAACTGCTTCTCCTTTACCTACATTCTTCACTGGTCAAAGGAAGGCATTTGTACCAAGGACCCACAGTCTTAACATATTTCTATAGCTGCAATAATATGGATAATCAACAGAAAACAAAAATAACTAACCAAAAATAAACTTTATGGGGTCCAGGAGATAGCTCAGTAGAATAAGTGCTTGCCTGAGTTCCATTCCTGGTACCACAAAAAAAAAAAAAAAAAAAAAAAAATAGTGTTATTGAGATAAAAACTTTCTACATATAGAAAGCAGTTAAGATAAACAATTATCTGGCCACCAAAAGAACAAATACTTTCTTGTTTCTAAAGGCCATAAATAAAGTTTTTCATTAAAATTCTATTCCACTGAAGCCTACATGTTCTCTGATCTCTTGGAGGTATGAACACAAAACACAAGGAATTACTAGGATTTGGTCCCCTGATATTTCAGTTACCAAATACATTCGTTTATTATTCATCTTCCTGGAAACAAAGAACTCTTCATCTTAATCAGCAGCAATGTTTTGTTTCCCAAGCCTGAGGTTTTCCTAGCTATAAAATGGGCATAGTGAGTAGCTTTCGAAATAACCATGAAAACTAACAGAACAGAGACACAATTCCCAGCCTACTGATCCTATCATGGTTGAAATTCAACAAAAGAACACCAAATGACAAGACAGCTTTAAATGATGAAAATATAATACGAATCACCATCTGCCCAAATACATCCTAGAACGCCACAGTATAATTAACATCCCAATATTTTATATGATTTTTTTTTAGGATAGATTTATTCAAGAAATAGCCCAAACCAAGGTATAAATTCTGAGGGATTTTTCTACCATAAGTAGTAAACTCAGGCAGAATTACTTTGTACCTGTCACCATAATACTTGCATCAAAAAATGAAAAGCTATAATCTTACACTTAAAATTTAAACCAAATACCATTTACTTGGGACCCTTGAGATATAGAACCAAAGACATTTCTATTTAGCTGTCTCATTCTTACTAATACACATACACCACATATGTGTGTGCATGCATACAGACACACACACAGACACACACAAATTCAGACATAGGATCAGCTTATACACTATCCAACAGGAAAGAAATAATAATAACTCAATTTCCCTGAAATTAAGTTAAAAATTTTCATGCTAAGACCTAGGCACAAAAGCAGAAAATGTAATGAAATTCAACAGTTAAGAAGACTTACACTTCCTCCTAGAACACAGACGTTCCTTTCTGGAAACCCCTTTGTAAAAACACCCAACCATTCTGAGCACTCACAACACAAAGTTGCTGTTGGAGGTACAGAAGAAACATCAAGCTGAAGCACAAAAAGCCTACTAGAAAGAATTTCCCAGTCAAAAAAGCTAAAACATTTACCTATGTCTTCTCACCAAACAAGAAAAAAAGAAATCTCCGACTCTTCCAAAAGATGCATTTTTAGCAGTAAAACCGAATAACTTCATTTAAAGGTAAAGGTCTAAGATTTCCATCATGGCTGTCCACTAGTAACCATCAACATTATTATGTCTTGTGTCTAGTTGTCCCCACAAAGCCTCAAGTAGTCATGGGGCAGCTTTCTGGAGTTTGTGACTGATTTTTGATCCAATGCTGGAATTGTGGGTGTGGGTACTGCACCCACCCTGAGGCAGCTAATCTGCATTACAATGTAGGACAGAGAGAGGCTAGCTAGCTGCCTAAGCTGCTTGCTGCTCTTCCCTCTGCTCACTGCCACTTCCATGAGTGGCTGCTCTCTGCCATGCGCCACTCTGCCTTGGAGCCAGCTGAGTATGGACTGACACTTTCACTAACTGTGAACTAAATACGCCTTTCCTTCCTTCATTTTGGGTGTTGGGTATTTTGTCTCAGAAATGAGACAAGAGTAACTGAGACAACCATATACTGTGTTGGCTAGACTGTAGGCTCTGAAGTCAGACAATGGGTTGTAGCCGAGTCACTTTAGAAATCATATACAGTCTTAAGAGAAGTTTTTTAATCTCTTACAGTCTCTTTCTTTCCCCTCTGAAACATGTTTTTAGAGAGTACCAGTCCCATGATATTAAATGACACACTGCATACAAAACATTTAGCACTGTGCCTGACCCAAAACATCCTAAGCAATGTGACTCACCTGGGAAGACTGGGGTAGGAGCAAGCAATCATCAGCTTCTTAAAACCTGAGAAGATAACCAAGAAAGATAAGAAGAAACCAGTGGGGTAAAAATACCTCAGTGTTCCTTTACTCTCTTCAGCTAAGTCTAGCTACTAAATCAAAGTAGCTGATAAAAAGCTGACTCTATAATAAAGCCTGGTCTCTCTGTAGAGCCACAAATCAGAACCCACAGGTGAGTTTGAAGCACCTCATTAATAAGTGTCAATGCAAGAACCATCATACTTAAGTTTGAAAAACAATGTGAGAGACAGAATGTTTTATAAGTACTTCAGTATTTGTTTTAGATATGGTTCAGCTGAGGCCTTATGCTTTACTTTGAAGTTAATACGGTGTTGCCCACTTGTTCATGGTTTTACTTCACGTGGTTTGTGTCACCTGCAATCAACAAGGATGAGAACAAGATTTCTAGGAAAGAGATTACGTTCCTATAAGTATTTATTCAGTATGTTATTTTAATTGTTCTACTTCATTATTAGTTACTGTTAGTCTTTAAACTATGCCTATGTACAGAAAAAACAGAATATGACCTCTGACTTAAAGATTTCATTATAGGATTTTATAATAGTGTAAAGACAAGAAACATGCAATAGAAACAGAATTTCAAAATTTGATCTTTTCCCTGGACGAGCAATATGCAATATGCTACTCTCCAACAATGCTGGGCAGCAGCAGTGGGAAGCTCCCGAGCACATAAGGACAACTTCACGAGGACAAATGCTAGCACTCAGTCATCCAGTACAATGTGTTTTAAAGCTATGATGCTCCATAAATTAGATGTACAATATACTTTCAACTTAATATTTTCAAGTCACAATGGCTCTGCCAGGATATAACCCCATTACAAGCTGAGAAACATTTTTCTATCAGAAGTTTAGCGTTACCTGTGGTTTCTAGCACCCAATAAGGGTCTTGGAAAGTATCCATAGAGAAGGAGGATCCGTTATATAGCTACCTGATCTTTAAAACCGGAGGACCACTGCCTAAAATTTCATTCTGAAGTCTTTCTCCTGGAGTTCCTTTAGATGCAGCAAAACTCCTGGCCCCGGGGCTCCTGTATTTTCACATGAGGCAGAGCACGACTGAAGTCCCCCCCAGCTCTCACTCAGATGTCTGAACTACCAGTCCATCCTTGCTCATAGTTCCTCATCCTTCTCCTCCGACTCAGTCACATCGCTGGTCAGCCCTTAACTAATTTACCCAAACTGGTATTTTCATCAATTTCAAATGTATGTATAATCTACTCTGAGCATTAAAGTAACTTTGTCTGACGGCAACATACATGAGAGCTAATGTTTTAGTGGCCTAGTATATGTTGCTTTTAAAGCAATTAAAACGTAAGAACTTGTCTCCAAGAGTTTGAAGAAATAAATCCACTAACAGTTTCTATAACAATCACTTAATCCTCTTCAGAATGGAAAAAGGAACACAATATTGCAATTTTTTAAACTTTGGGGTACAGAGAGTGGTACCAACTAAACCCACAGCCTTAGGCATGCAAGGTATGCATTCTACTAAGCTACATCCCAGGCTTGATGAAACTTTTATGAGATCAATTCAAAACATGAATCCAGCAGGATGCTACAGTATCATTTTAAAATGCATTCATCCCAAGAGAGAGAAACTACTTACTGAAAAAGTTCAGTAAAATCACTAGGTAAGTTTTTCACTTGCTAGTGTTCATACCTCCCAGATTGTATTAGTAGTGTGATTAAGAAGAACTACTCCACTCACTAGTAGATCCAAGCTGGCTAATCAAATATTGCCAGCTGGCCAATCAATTGCAATTTGAAAGGCTATTCTAAAAATATCTTTATGTAAGTGTCTAAAATCTCATCAAGGGGGCCTGGCCCTAGCTCAGGCCTTTAAGTGGCTGCTTCCACAAAGCTGTCAGCCTCAGGTTGCTGGAGTTCGAACCTCACACCTCTCCCGCTGGCCAAAAGTGCCCTGAAGGTATTCCAGCAACAACAACAAAAAAATAAATAAATAAATAAAATAAAATAAAATCTCATCAAAATGTAACGACTTCTCACTAATTTCTGCTAGCCATCAGAAAACAAACTTTCAAGGTAAACCTTAGATCACTACCTTTAATACAACTACCAAAATCCTCCAAGATTTCTAAATTATTCCCTTGCCAAAAGAGGTAACATGCTAATTCTACTCTAGCAATAAGCTCCTATAAGCTTGTCTTATACCTGAGAACAATCTCTACCAACCTTTAAAATAAAGCTTACCCATGTACGTCAGCTTGCAATGAAATACATAAAATGTGCATTTTCTCACTTGCACAAAATAAATGACTGCAGTGCATAGGAGTAAGCAGGTTGTTGGTTAGTCACCAACCCTGAGCCTGCCCACTCTTCCAGGAAATGGAGACTATACACTCAATTTCCTACCTCACGTTTTGCCATCGGTGTTAAATGAGAAAACCTATGGAAAGCATAATGTTCATCCTAAGGCAAAATGATTATTACCTGGGTACAGAGATACATACTCCTCAAAATGATGTTCTAATACAAAAGTATAGACTTTATAAAATAGTAGAACAATCCTTTCATTTGAGCTGCTGTTTCGTATGTGTCGGGCTTCAAACCAGAGCCAAGTTTCTCCAAGAAGCCACCCTAGGAAAAGACATAAATCAACAGGCACCAGGTACATCTGTGATTCCTTCTCATACCTGTACATGCAGATTTTCTTACAAAAACCCCAAGAGCAGCAAACAAGGAGTAAACACAAAAGGAAAAATTTCTGAGAAAACAGCATAATGTTTTAGAATGAATCACATTCAGGTCTGAATAGGGAGGATTCAGACAGAAAGGAGTGGTGCATACTCTTTCTGCACACAGCAGCCGCAGTCATCATGGCTTCCACAAAGCAGCAAGGTGTTTAAGTGACTGATCAACACAGCAGGCTGATGATCCCATTGTACACTTGATTTGGCTTGGGATTGTCCAATCCAATTTGCTAACACAGTAGACTCCAGAAGAATCACCCATTAAAAACAATCCAAATACAGACTCTAAATGTGCATAAGGCCTTTTGTGATCTCCATCGGAGCTTATAGTATCTAACAGCTGCAACTGTGACTGTTCTAGCTAATTGCTCTCAGCAACAAAAATAAACAATCACTCCAGGAAGGAGACTATACCCGGCAAATATTAATGAATTTTTTTAACAGTCAAATATTTCAAATCTTTGTTTAAAAGGCTTACAACTGGTGAAAGTTTCAAAGAGTAAGAACAATGTTCAGGAGGCTCAAAAGTAAGCCTTTATTATTTAATCTGCACCCACCTCACCTTCCCCACAAAAGGAAAAAGGAATGTGTGCCTTGTGTCTAGAAGAATTTAAGCAATCTGAGATATTTTAACTCGTGTATAACTTTTTAACATATGGGGGAAAAGAGTTGCACTGATTGGAGCTATTTTTAAAGTGCAGCTCTATCATAAAAATAGACATTTACTCATAAGGGTGCTTGAATAGAGAATAAGCCCAATCTACGTCTCATTGTTAAGAAAGGGGTAAAAAAAGGCTGCCGTGCTTTCTGGAGAGTCATTGAGGGTCTGCTTGTGATGTCATGGCCGGGCCCAGGTGCACTCTAACAAGCTTCTTTCATTCTCGTCAGTCCTTTTAAAAGTGCTCTTCTGCCTACTTCTCTGAGCACACGCACTAAGGAACCAGTATTCACCCAGAGCCTTGTGAGAGAGAAGATCACTGCAATCAGAGACCCAAGGGAGAGGGAAAAATCACTCACCCACAGTTGAATTCAGCATTGTTCTTTAGTTCTCATCATCCTCACTAGGGAAGTATTTTCTTTGCTAAGAAAAGAAAGAGGAGTTAACTTACTGGTGCTCTATGACATCTGCTTGTCCTCTGTCCAAAAAAGAAAAAGAAAAAGTCGCTTGGTACAGACTTCTGCCCCATCCAGATTCTGCTGCACTAATGAAGCTTACAATCCGACTGCCTACTTAAAGTGTCACAGTCACTTAGGCACCACCAGCCCATGAGGCCTAGAGAGGTCACCCAGGGTCTTTTCCTGAGAGAAAGGGAGCTGTATTAAGAAAAGATATAGAATGCCCCTTTTTTATTACTTCCTGATGTAATCTGAGCAATAATCAATATAACAGAAACTAAACTAGTTTTATTTCATATTCCTTAAGCTAAAATTCAGAATCTATTATTTTATGACTTTTTTTCCAGGGGCCAGCAAGATGGCTCAGTAGAATAAGCGTTTGACTGGCCTGAATTCAATCCCCAGTTCTGCAAAAAATAAACAAATAAATATAAATAAAAATTTCCATATGCTAAAGAACAAAATAAAAAATGGGGAGAATATTCCTTTCAAGGAAAAAAAAAAAAAGACTAAAAAAAGTGAATCTGAATGTTTATACAAAGGGTATGGATATAGCTAAGTACAGTGCTTGCCTAGATTGCACAAGGCCCTCATTTCAGTCCCCAGCATTCTCAAAAGAGATAGTATATAGAGGAGACTAGACATACAATCACAACCTTAAAAAGTAACAAAGTCAAAATATATTTAAAAATCTCTTCAGAAGATTGGCTATTATTTTTTGTAATTTTTAAATTTTCTAGTGACTGTGTTATTGGCTGAACACAGAAATATTTATAGTATTAAGTGCACCACAGTAAAATAACTATGTGCATTTACCTAAGTTCAACTGCCATATATATAGCTCCTCCAGGATTTTAGAGTTTGACTCCATGAGGACACAGTTTATGAATGTTAGTTTAGGTGGTAGTACTGTAGTAATAACAAAGGGCACAGCTCCAAGAGTGAGGAGAGTTGGGTTCAAGTGCCCGGTCTCACATTAGCAAAAGAATGGGAGAATTTGAACTATTCTGGGCCTGGTTCATCCCTCTGTAAAACAAGGTGCTGAACAAGAGCTGTGAAGTGTCTTGTATTTAAAAAAAAAAAAAAAAAAAATTAGTTTTCAGTGTAGAAAACAGCACAGTGACTGATAGGAGGTACTTGATATACATTTAATGAAAAAAACGGAAATCTTAAAAGAATAAAGCAAACAATAATGCATTTAAAAACAGAACTTGTCTGTGTGTTCCATAGACAGCTACTGAGCCATAGCATGATCACAGCTGTGTCACGGTACAGTTTCTGTCAAGACTGAGGACCACTATATGGAAAAATTGGGACGTACAAAACGTTAACCTTTCTATAGCCAGGTATGGTAGCACACACCTGTGATCCTAGCACTCAGGAGGCCAAGGCAGGAAAATCATGTCAGTTTAAGGCCAGCTTCAGATACAAAGTGAGTTCAAGGCTAACCTCAACTACACAAAAAAATTCTGTCTCAAAGATTTAAAATAATAAAAAAGAAAAGCCCTTTCTAATACTAAAGAATTTTTGGTATGAACAAAAGCATTGTCTCTTATCACTACCTACAAGTATATAAAACCTATTTTTGAGACTAGAAAAGATCTAAAATATACATGAAAAAGTGTGAGGGTTAGCCTCCAACTCTATCCTCCGTAGAATTTTACTTCAGAATCCAAGAAATAAAAGTTGTACACCTGTCAGACACCTAAGCACCTACATTTACGCATCACGACCTTCCTTTCCCGTTCAAATGGCCAGCTGCTTCATCTTTACCACCCGGGAAATGAACAGCCTACAGTCCAGACAAGGAAGCTACCTTGTCAACTGTGCTTCACTCCAAAGTCACCTTGAAGGTAGCTGTTGTTCTCATCACACCTGCAAAGAAGTCGACAGATGGGCCGGATGCTCCTGAAACAAATAGGCAGCTCTACAGAAAGGACTGTGGGGAAGATATAGCAGGCAAATCGGCATTAGAGACGGCAGGCAGCTACCAAAGTCCAAAGATTCTACAAAATAAATACACAAACCAGCAAGCTCTTTCCACTGAAGAGCTATTCAAATGGTCTTTATTTTATGTGGTAATGTGAGGGAAAGTATGACTATTACACTAACTTCCAAATTACAAAAAGATCTTAAAAAAAAAAAGAAAAAAAAAACTGTCTAATCAAAACCTTATTTTAGAGGTAAATGTATTTGAGAAACAAATGGATTTTATGATTTTTCCCTCAACTTTGATGAAAGGGATGGTTGAGAGATATGGGCAAGAAAAATGTAAAATAAACAGGATACCCAAGAGAAAAATGAGCCAGGTATTATGGCACTGGAGAGAGTAGAAGGGCTGAGAAAGGATCCAATAACTTAGCTCATTGAGTATGAAAGGTCTAGAGCAGTGGTGGAGAATCTATGGCACATGTGCTGCAGCAGGCTATTTGATTTCATCAGAAGCTCTAAAAGATTCACTATCACTGGTCTGTAGTTGGAGAAATAGATCAGACCAACGTTGCATTACCAGGAAGATTTTGGTTCTGTTTGATCTTTCTGCACGGACTATACAACATGCTTCAAATAAACACCTCTTTTTAAAAAAAAGGCAACATCCTTGTTACTGAGCTCTGCTCAACTCCCCAAATCACATACTATCACCATCATGCCAAATATTTTCATTGTAGAATAGAAATAGGGAAGAGAATAAGATAAAGTTCCCATGCTTATGTACTTTGCATTTATGTCTAAGTTTTAACTACTCATGTTCACAAAAACATTTATAAAACATATAGATGTACATTGTACACAATGTAAAAATTTATGAATTGCTCCAAAATAGGCTTACCTGTGTTTGATCACTGGAATCTGTGCTTGTATTCTTGCTCCCAATTCCTTCTAAATCAGTTACTCTTAATAATTAATTCATTTAACTACCACTTCTGCATGTATGGCTTATCATTCTTATCTCACTAATTCTCAACACCCTGCCACATGTATTGAATCAAAGGTTTTTTTTTTTTTTTTTTTTTTTTTTTTTTTGTGAAAAGCAATTATATTCTGTCCACAATAGTCACCTTTCCTTCCATTGTAGTTATCTGTAGATGTAGAGTAAATAATCTTCGGCATTGCATACAACAGGGTCCATGACAGCGCAGAGATGTCTTGTATACATTTATGTCTGCAAAAATATTTTCTTACATTTATGCCTACGTGGTTGTTAAAAAGTAACAACTGTGAATGTTTCTGAGGGTGTCAATTTGGTCTTAACCTACACCTTTAGCTACTAAGCCAAAAGTAATATTAATACTGAATGTGGGGCCCTGAACAATAGTGACTCTTAAGTGGACATTGAGTAAAAACAGTCATGCATTGTTTTAGTACTCAGGATATTTTACCAATTACCTTTCCAAATTGTCAGGCCTCATATAGCACAGACACATCAAGAAGGCCCAGCCAAATGCCTTACTCAAATATTCAGGTCCAGTAGCTTATTGCATATTAATAGTTTTTATTTTGCTAAAGAAAAAATTTGGACAATTTAACAGGCATGAGAGCACCCGAGAATTCACTAAATGACAATGAATATGTTAAGCATTTCACAAACTCGTAATTAATCCAAGAAAAGAAGATTCTATAAGAGTAAAGGAAGTTCTTGTCTGTGAGACACAACTGGGTTCAGCAGTAAGCTACACAAGCTGCTTCTGAGCTCTCACAGCACCACCGTCATTGCAGCCCTGGCCTGGTGGTTCTTCTGATCTTTCCTTTCTAACTGATGATTTCCAAAAAAACTGTAAGTGATAGCTGCTCAGTTTTATAGCCTTAGATACAGAGAAGCAGGGAGATAACCAGTAATTCTTTGTTGACCAAACAAAAATTTCTGCTGCTAATTTCTACAAACCAGAATTCTGGAAAGGGTAATTCAGTAAAAATTCATCGTATGTTGACAGGCTGCCTGTGTTGGTGCTCTAGATGCTTAATCCTTCCAATTTGAAGAAAAATGAACCTACCTCCTAGAATTTTCAGAGGAACAATATAAAGCACAAAATGGCCATTGACTGCAATGACAGACTATAAATGCCCATCATCCAAATAAATTGTTAGGATTTTATCAGAATCTCTCTTTACTCCCACTGTTCAAGGTTCGAAAATGGAAATAAAGGCATAGAGGAGCAAAACTACTGCTTTTTTTTTTCCTTCTTATCCAACATGCATAGTGCTCTGGAATTACACTGAAAGACCCAAATATTAAAATTTCAATATACTTATTGTTATATGTACTTTTTTTCCTAGGTAACTCTGAGAGCAGTAGTTCCAAATTCACAAAATTTATTGTTCATACTGTCTAAAATGGGAGAAATACTGTAATCTATTATTTTGAAAAGTATTAAACTGCTAACATTTTTCTTCAAATCAGATTAAAATAATATAAAATGATGTTAAAATTAAGAATTTCTTTGAGTCACTCTAACAGTGAACCGCAATACCAGATGATTTGCAATCATGTATGAGTCAAGATTACAAAGGAGGAAAAGTGTAATGTCTACTCAAATATACAGTGGTACCTTGGGATTCACGAACTTGAGTCTTTCCACAATTCTGGTTGCACAGCGAATTGGATGAAAAACAAATCGAATTTAACGGTTAGGTTCACTGTTGACCTTATGGGGAAATCTGACTTGGGTCTTGTCCAGTCTGGTTTGCAGCCAGAGTCACAGAGAGAATGGAGTTCGTGAAGTGAGGTACAACTACCAGTAACAGTTTAACCAAGAATTTTTCTAATACATGCTGAAATATAAAAGAATTACTGATGTAGAAACCAGTCAAAATACTGAGTAAGTAGGCAAGTGGAAAGAAGTTATTGGAGGATGTTCCAATTAAAGAGTACTTAATTCATGTAATTAAATACTCTAGGAATTTGGAAGGAATATGGAGATCTGAGATTAACTGCATGTGGAAAGAAGAGGAAGTGTCTTGTCACTCAGAAACACTCCTGACTACTAAGTTATGAATTCAGGACAATTACTGTTAGATGTCTTTTACCAAACAAGTAGACAGACATGATCAAAAGATATAGATATAGATATAGATATAGATATAGATATAGATATAGATATAGATAGATATTAAAGTACCTACTATGTTCAATTACCTTAAGTCTTAAAGAAGTAAAATTCTTGCATAAAAGAAAATCAAAAAATCTTTTTTGCCATCCATACATCTGCTGAGGCAAAAACTGAACATGTATGTGAATGACACATGGGGCTGGCACTGTTTGTGATGTGTACATGTGTGCTACATACACCATCTTAACCTGAAAGAAGCTCCATTTTTAATCTGGGAAAAGAATTTAATAATATAGCAACTGTGCAATAAAAGGAAGTTTCACATACTAACACTCGCATGGGTAAATTAAATCTTACCAGTAGAAGCTCAGAACCTTCCTGTTTTTGTTTTGGTTAGTTCAAGTAAATCAGTGAGGGCAATTTCTATTCTGCAAAAGGCTAAAGGTTAGATCAGAGCTACAGAATGGTATCAGCATCTGATTTCCAAAACTACAAATTTGGAGATTAAAATACATGCGCCTGTAAGAATCATTCACCTGATAATATTTAAAAGCTAACTAATCAGAAGGTGTTGTTCAGTGGAGATTTTTCCCCCCACATTCCAATTAACTTGCTTTTTGGAATTCTTTCAACCAAAGCTCTGAGGGAACCACTTTTAACTCAAGAGTATGTTTATTCATTGCACTGAGCACAAGAACTCCCCTCCCAAACATGTACAAAGACCTACTCACCACACTGTTCTTTCCCTTCAACTTTGTTTATTGATGTACTGAACATGAAAAAGTACAAAGAATCCAAACACAAAAGAAAACATGTACAGCCTCTTAAATACTCAACAGAATATATTTTCTATTCCAACAGATGTGAATTAAGTCATACTGTACAACTTCAAATAAATACCAGCCTTACATTTTATTAAGTGCTCTGATAAACACTGTAAAGTGAAGCACAATTTGCATGCCCTCTCATCAATGCCTCGGTTTGCTACAGTAGTATAGGAAAGAAGCACGTAGCTGCTGTTTTCCCGTGAGGGAAACCTTATTTTTTTTTTTTTTTTTTTAAGTATATACATGTATTTTACTTTTTATTTTTTTTTTAAACGCAGAAGGTTAACTCTGACAATCTAAATGCACCTAAGGATATGAGAAAGTGCTAAGCCAATTGATTTCTGAATAGCATTGAGTGGGTCAGCATGAAAACTCGCTTATTCACTTTAGCACGCGCCTCACAGTATATGTACTGTACTATACTGAAAAATTTTAACTACAATTTTAAATAATAAAAAATAGAACTCAAAGCAACCGCAAAGATAATGTACAACTATGTTATGCATAGCACATTGCCTGTTCTAAGGGGAAGCATGTGAGCATCTCAGTTTATACAAAAAGCAGGACGTAACTATATAGTTCTCAGTGCATCCTGATGAAGGCAATTTCTACCTTCAGCTTTTTTGAAAATTTATTATAAGCTAGATGCTAATCAGAAAATATTTTGTATTTTTAAAATTTCTTTCATACATGGTAAAGACTTATTTTATTATTTCCCCAAATAGTGGTTTAAGCATCATACAAAGTTAAATTTCAATAGCATACAGATATTTATGATTTTTGTATGAAAAATGTAAGGAAATTTGTTCAAAACCTATGGTTATACTCATTTTTTTTTACCACAAACATATTTATAAACGAAAATGTAGCATCACCATAAACAGCTGAAGCTAGACTATCTACAGACAAAATTAGCAACGAATCTGATGCACTGTAAATTCAAGTCCTCAGGACAACAAAAGTGATTAAGCAAGACCTCAAGTAACAATGTTAATGCCATTTACAAAGGAAAAAACTGATACAA